TATGAAGAAATACCACCACTTGCCAGTCAGTATTGCAGTACTGTTAGTGAACACCACCTTTCAAAGGCATCAACTCTTCTTTGATCTTCCTTGTTCACTGTCCAGCTCTCAGAGCAAAAGAAGTACGGATACATGGTGTGTCCCACAAAGAGCAATCAGCTGAAGGAGCAGGTGATTACAAGGCTAAACAGAACTTTTCTTTTTTTATTGGTTTGCTTACAAAGTTCGTGTGCATTGTGTTTAGCACTATTCTTCATTCACATTATGTTCTACACACTCGTTCTCATGCATTCTTTTACAAAGTCAATCACCATTGGACCTTGCCCATCATTACCCTGTCTTTTCACCCAGATCCTTCCCATTTCCTTCCCTCCACTCTCCACCCACCAAACTGTGCAACCCTGTGGTTTCACCCTCATTCCTCTACTCCCACTCCTTTCCCCCTTGAGCTCCCCATACATGTTTTACTACTTATCCTTTAAACAGAACTTTTTTGAAGCATTTTCCAGCAGTATAAATCTCATTAATCTGATCCTCCTAGATCATAGGCAAGGACAGGGGTCAAGGTCAAGACTACAGTGAACCACATGGTGGACAGATTTCAGCAAAGTTTCCAGACTAAGAGGCAGAAACTTCAGAAATCACAGGTCTGCAAAAACTCTATGGACAAGAGAAGAACATTGTTGGATGTACCATATGGTTGTCAGTAGGAAAGACGGAAACAGGTCAGAAAGCGTGAAGGTAGGGGGCAAACAGCTGGAAGAACTGAAGCCCTTATGCTAGGGCTTTCTGTGGTTTTATTGAGAATCACCAAGAAGTAAACAAAGAAAAATCACCAGGAAGTAAACAACAATAAAAGATCAAAGAAAAATCTTTTGCAAATGAGGCTGAATTCGCCTCTATTGTTAACCTTATGCTTATCTCAGGAGGGAGGAATTAGTAAATACAAACTAAGAATTATGAAAAGGCCCAAGGTCTGCCTAGGCGCTTAACCTGAAGCCCAACGTCAGCCTTGGTGCTACAGTGGGAATTCTAGCTTCTATCTCTTGTCTCCTCTTGCATTTCCTGATGCAGCATTTGGTTAAATATTAAATTTGATATTTGGTATTGTATAATACCAAATTATATTTGTATATTATTATTTTTATATTTGTATATTATTATTGTATAATATACCCAAAACTGAAGTCAGTGAGTGAGCCAATTTGCAAACATGGCTATTACATTATCAGTAAGAAGTGAATTACCCTGAGGAATACCACAGTGACTGCACAATGTCTTGGTAATAATGGCATGGCTGATCTGATTCATGATATCTATATTGATGGGAAATACTTCAAAAATACCAAAGATCTTCCTGTAGTCTTTTAAATTCTCTTGCAGTGTTTCGAATTCTCTTTTCCAAAAGACAAAAAAACCCTCACTGCTGTCAAGTCGGAACTGCCGCATAGCTGACCTTCCAGCAGTTTTCAAGGCTATAAATTACACAGTAATTATCCATCTTTATCCGTGGAGCTGCTGGTGGACTCAACTCCCTACAGACTACAAAAAATGATGATCATTCATTTCGTGGAAGGGAGAAACTCACTCTGGTTGTTGTTGTTAGGTGCCACTGAGGAGACTAGACTGTCACCTATTTATTAACAACAGATCTGAACCTTGCCTGATCTGAACTCTGGATAGTAAACAAAACAGTTAACGGCCTCTCAGTTTGAACCCACTTTCCAGCAGTTTCTAAGAGTTTTGTAAATCGCATGGGAGGAGACTGCACATCTTTCCCCCTGTGAATTCAAACTGCCAGAGAAGTGGTGCCACCAGAGCTCCACTATTAGGATGAGTGCCCTTGGCAACTTTGTAAACACTCTGAGCTCTCAAATTTCTTCACCTGTATAAAAGATTTAAAAAAAAAATCCCTGTTCCATAGGGTTGTTACAAGACTAAATGAAATAAAGAAAGTAAAACAAGCACTTCCTGTACTCAATCATTCTCATTTTGTTATCATCTTATCAGGGAAAAAATGCTTAGGAACAAAGTTTGATATGTGGTGAGAATTAGGGAAATACTCATGTGGCCTTGGGAAAGGAGGTGTCAACAGCTCTGAGAATCGGCAAGGGAGACTTCTCAGAAGGACTGGGTCAGGTTTTAAAGAGTGCATGGGTATTCCGTTGCCATCAAATCAGAAGTGACCACACCTATGAATGGAGCCGCCAAACAGTTTCCACGGTTATAATCTTTACAGAAGAAAGACAATTTGTCATAATTTTCTCCTTTCTGACCAGTAAATTTGATCCAACAATCTTTTGGTTAGTAGCCAACTCCCTAGCTGTTGTGCTATAAGGGGTCCTAAGAATGAGTGTGCTGTTATTAGTGCTGGCTCACAGGGACACCACGGACAACAGAAGGAAACAATATCCAGTCCTGTGCCATTCTTCTGAGTCTACTGTTGTAGTCACTGTGCCAATCCAACTTCATGAGAGTCTTCTTTTCACTGACGCTCTACTTTACCAAAAAGAGCTGAACAGAAGATTCCAAAAGGCTGCTCGGAATGACAAAGCGAAATACTACAGTGAAATGTGCGAGGAGCTAGAGTCGGAAAATCAAAAGAGCAGAACTCG